GTGCTTGTGAAATCGTACGAAAAGTTATGCACCGTAATTTCGCACGTTTTGGACGTTTTCTTCGTCGTATGCGCATGTGCATCTGACGCACCATTCACGAATATAGAATATAAATTACAATTAGCCCTAATCCTGACCCTAACCCTAACCCTAAGATATAAAACAGCAAGCAACGTAGTTAGAGACATGAATAAGTGATGATTGCACTGTTTTTCCCATTTTTACGTCTGTCCGCAGATCTGCTTTTTTTTTTCTGTCTGCCAGCGCATGCGCACTGATGTGGTTTTTTGAGGAAAAACGTCCAAAAATGTACGAAATAGTGTACATAACTTTTCGTACGATTTCATACGCACTCATAATGAGAATATGTTGGTCTGTATGCTACTATCATGTATCTGTTTGAACTGGTTTTGTATGTGCAATTAAATTGCGCTTCATTTCTTTATATTTTACTGTAACTGCGGCAAATCATCTTTAGTGCAATTTTCCTTTGCATGTCTTTTGTTTATTAGGCTGATTTGAATGTTTTCCCATCTGATTTTAGGCTCCGTTCACATTGCAGCCTGAAGTGACCCAAATCCGATTTTTTGGCCCATATTCGACCTGGATCTGATCTTTTCACGACAGTTGGAACAACACAGTTCCGATTTCTTCCAATGCGACCCAGGCCTCTTGGCTATGTGGTCCTGAATTCGATACGAATCTGATCTTTTCAAATGCGACCTTTGTGTGAACGGCCAGGTCGGATTCACCCGACCTGAACGTCATTAATAACCAACAAAAATCACTATTCTTGGTCTTGCTACACAGAAACGGCAAGAAAAACAACAACCTTTGCAGATGATGATGCGGAGAGCGGTATTTATGTTTAAACATATTGAAAAGATTGAGTTTTTATGGTTGGAAAAGACTGCTAGATGTTCGCACTACCATCCATGTTTACTTACGGAAAAAAAGAGCACGCTGGCCTGTGATGTCATTGCGTCCTCTACTGCGCATGCGGGACACTTGCGTTGTGTGACTGCAGTTCACACAGGAGATCACATACAAGTTGCATATATTTGGAAATATGAACGGCAACGCAAACAAATCGCATTTCACAAAAAAATCAGAATTGAGCATCAAGGCCTGCAGTGTGAACGTAGCCTTAGTGTTTGCGGTTAATTTCTAACATGCTGTTTATGTATTTGCAATGCAATTTCACCTTTAGGCCAGAATGATTCTTAAGATGGATTCTTGTCTTCTAATTGGAATTCTGCCATAAAAGACATTTTGGCATCTCCTTAATTAGTCATAAAATGAACTCTTGAAGTTTGTTTGGAAGGTTGGCCTCTCCTGGGAAGGTTCACTGCTTTCTCTACTCAGGCACTGATTCAAATGATTGCATTACCTCCTCAGCAGCCATCAAATGCTTGTTAATCAGATTGTGAGGTGTGTGGAGGCAGGGAAACATTTAGGACAGTGGACTCTGAGGAGCAGGGTTAAGGATCCCTGATTTAGGTAATAGGTTTATTCTATAGCTCTGCTGGTAGTCAAACAGAGATGTAGCCAAGAAAATCAAACTCAGCTGTCGAACTGATGGTAATCATATTTTTGATGTTTTTAAAAAATGAGAATGGCTAATTTTAGTCAAAAGCGGCAGGTTGATTTGACTAGATTTTTCCCTTAAAGAGGCATTAAAGAGTTGTTTATTAATACTGCCACCTGTGGCCAAAAAACAGAGTTGCGGCACCCGACTGCTCGTTCATATAATTGACAAGGTTCTTTTTTAAAACTTTTTCCCCTTACCTTTTGTTGCTATTGGTGTCTGAGTTGAGCTGGATGCCGGTCAGTTATGAGAATTCACTCAATTTATCTTGGATATAACGCTTCGATTGTTTGCTAGCTTGGACCCATTCATCACGTCATGTCTGCAGAAACAGAGCAGGAACCTCAGACTCAAAGTACATTCAGGAAAAATAGGCTACAGACTGAAGCCTGGGTCACAGCGGTTTGTCCAACTTTTTATCTTAATCCGATTTTTTTTTATGTCCCATAGAGGGCCTACTACTACGCAGCGGGAGCAGATCCCAATCTAAGCAGATTTTTTCACTTTTGTCTTCTACAAATTGAAACAATGTCCAACATTTGAGTGGGACAGATTATGAAAAACAGAAAACAGCCAACACAAATACAAAGCAAAGTGCCACTTCATGACCAACCTACAAAGCAGGCCAGATAGAGGATTTTGATATTAAAAAAAATTTAGAAACTATGTGTAAACAAAAGAAAAATGCAGCAATAAACAACGTGGGACGGTTTATAAGTACCCCCTCCAAACACCAGATGTCATTTAGACGTTGGTTTTTAGACTGTTTTTGGTCGGTCCATCATAGTCTTAATTTAGTTTAGAAATAGTTTAATAAACTGGGCTGTGTATGGTTGGTCTGATTTTGTCCCACATTAGTCCAAAAATAGACATTGAAAAGACGCTGTAAGGTCTTTTCAACTATCTGAAAATTACGGCTTTTCACTTTTTAACAAAATGTAGAAGTCATTTGGACGTAATTGTCATATTGGGATTTAGATGTCTAACCCACATGCAGAAACACTCGGAGGCAGGGAAAAAGTTCAAAGGTTTATTGACAAAATGTTTATAAAAATGTGAACTGGAACTTGGGTGGTCAGACTGGTCACGGCAGAATCCCCACTGAGGAGGACAGAGAGGTTGAGGAGTTCCAGGTAAACTGCCGTTTATCAGACGATGGGGTAAATACCTGCTCAGAGGTGGAACTGATCAGCAGGGGGGGGAACCTTGAGGGTCCAGAGGCTAGTCCGCAGGCAGAGGGCTGAGGGCAAGCAGAGACTGAACTGAGTGCAGGCAGGCGAAGGACTGAGAGCTAGGCAGAGGCTAACTGAGTGCAGGCAGGCAGATTCCAGACTGAGATATTCTCCAGGATTTCAGGTTGATCTGACAGGACTGGATCTGTGAGGGAGAAAGAAACAGGGTCAGGCAGATTCACAAAAATCAGGGAAAACAGATCAGAGAAGCAGGCTCAGGTTTTGCTGGTATCATTACTGGCAAACACTCTGGCAGGGAAGTGTCAGGCTGTTCCTCCTTAAATAGGGCCTCCTTATAAGCAGATGGAAGACAGGTGTTGCAGTCAGCTCTAGCCCTCAGGAGATCCTGTGCGCTCTCTGGTGGAGAAGGTGGACAAAGCCTCCAGATCCCAACAGTAATCATGACTTTCAATGTCTTTCCAACCAATTTTTGCTTGGTGGGACTGGATGAGGCAATAATCTGAGATTTGTTAGATAAAACTCTTACCTAATCAGTTCGGCAGTAACATACAACCAACATTTTTCAGTCCAGCTAAAACTGGTGCGGCCATGTTTGTTCTTTCTTTAGCCTTCTGCTTCTGGTTGATGCCATAAACGTCACTGTATTTCATTTCAATGAAACAAACACATCTGCTGGTTCCTGCCAAGATCTGTTTTTGGGATTTTGCAATAATTCATTCCTCTTTAAAGGCATACCTGCTTGCAGAAAATCATGTCTGGTGTGTTCACCCCCAAATGCCACAACCTTGTGCGACATAATTTTCTGTCTGGTCGGACGCAGATTCGAATTCGGTGTGTTCAGGGCTTTAAAGAGGTGCAGAATTAGAGGTGTCAGTCTGCTAATCAATGGCCTGTACCTATGTAACGCTTTTTGGCACTTTTCAGGATACTTGACCAAAGCGCTTTACGCTACATTCAGTCATTGACCCATTCACTCACATACTAATGTAGGCAACCTAGATTGTGGCAACAGCTGCCGTGGGGTTCACTGACAGAAGCGAGGCTGCCGTACGCTGCCACCACCAGGCCCTCTGACCGCCATCAGTAGGCGATACGGGTGGAGTGTCTTGCCCAAAGACACAACAACAATGAAACCGACGATTTGAACTTCAATTTCAGGGCAAGCTCCTACATCCAACGCAACTGTCCTCCCAACAATGTTTAAGTCATAAAAGGTGAAATAAAAAGGCTGTTTTAAAGATATTTTTCAGTGAAAAATTACGAAATTGTAATGAAACAGAGACTGGATCCGAATATAACCAAGACAGGTCAGTTACATTTGAACAGTTAATTGAACAGGTTGCTTTGAGAGCAGGACTGAATCTTAGTGGAGCAAACAGGCAGAAAGGCGGGCAGATTGTGTGATGTTTACCAGTTAGTGATCCAGGAGAGGAAGGCAGACAGTTAAGCTGAGCTTTTCCGAGTTTGTGATCCAGAGAGAGGGGAGCAGGCAGTCCAATCAGAATGACTCAGAGATCCAGGGATCCAGAGGCAGAGCAGAGAGGATATAAAGGCAGGCAGAGTCAGACAGGGATCAGGCAGGTTCGGTATCAGGAGACAGATCGGGTCAGTAACGGGTAGACAACAGATATTTCTAGAGATAATGGACTATTCTTACCGTGTTGGCACAAGACAATCTGGCACAGCGGACTGGTCTAATGGGGTTTAAATACTGATGGAAACAGGTGACTGCGGTCAGAGCTGTGGGTGGAGCAGAGCAGGTGTATGGACTGAGCGATCAGGCCAGAATCAGTGCAGAGACCATTACAGAAATGTCTCTTTAATAAATTTAGTCATCTGTTGAAGTTTCTTTTTTTTATCAGCAACAAAGGGAGATATAAATAAGTAGCATATTTGGCATTTACTTTTAGTTGCTATGGTTATGAACGTACCCATTAAACTTGGAAAGTCGTCACCCGGTAATTATAACTGTTGTCAGATCTCAGAGAAACTGCTTTTGCATCCTTCCTGGTGTGAAAACACTCAATCTAATCCACCTGTTGGAGATTAATATGTTTTTAAGATTTAAATTTAGAGATTTATATTTATATTTACCCTTATTACACTGCATATGTATTATTATTATTTTTTCTTAATAACCACTTAATTCCCAGCTGGCAGATGGCCCCTTTTGCATTGTCCCCTGAGCACTAATGCCATCCTTTGTGTTTCCATCACAGCCCCAGACAAACAGCACGAGAAACAGCATAGTCACCAGTCCCAAAGGAAACATCCCTTCGGCTGCACTGGTACGCAGCTCTGTGTTCTGTCCGTCCATCTTTTCAGACCACATCTACACTCCAGAGGGCACTGATGGGTGTGTGTGTGTGTGTGTCTGTACCTGTCTAGCCCTCAGAGTGAGGACCATTTTTCCAATTTCACCATCAAATTGAAGACCAGTTGTTGTAAAGTGAGCACATTTTGCTGGTCCTCACAAGCTATTTTCTATTGGTTAGGGTTAGGGTAAGGTATGCATTGGTAATGGTTAGGTTTAGGGTTAGGGCATAGAAAGGGTTGAAAATGACTTAAAATCAATGGAAGTCAATGGGAGTCAACACATGGTCCTCACTACCATGGCAGAACGTGTGTGTGTGTTTATATGGAGGACCAGCAGAGCCAGAGAAAAAGTAATACAACAAATTTAAATTCAACAAAATATTAAATTCCAATTTTAAAAGTGTTTTGTTATTGCCTATTTAAAATAAAATTATTAAAGTGGAAATAAAAATAGAATTTATCCATCCATTATTAAATACAGCAGTTTGAAAATGTATTTTAAAATCCCATGTTTTAAATTCATGAAGCTGTTTATAACTGTCTTTCCTTATCAGCCAGTTTAAAAAAAAGTTTCTTTTTTCATTTTCTTTTACTTTCCTTTCTATAGTTTCCCTTATCTATTAGCTTTTGCGTGACCCTTGTTAACAAGCTGTTACTAAACTGCTTATAAGTTGTAACTAAGCTGTTGATTAAATTTTTCCAAAGTTTTAATCAAATGCTACTTAACTGTTTATAAGCTGTTTCCAAACTATTAATAAATGATTACTAAACGGATTATATGCTGTAGCTAAATTATTTATGAGCTGTTATTGGGTCAAGGAAATAGTAAATAGAGAGGTAAAAAATAATGACCTTTTAAAATGGATTTAAAAGTGTAAAATGTAAAGGAAATTAAGAAAAAGAAAATAAGAAAAAATAGAAATGGAAAAAAGAATTACCTTTATAAATATTTGATGAGGATAAGCATCAATGATGTAAAAAAAAAAAAAAAAAGGGGGTGGGGGGTATTTAATATTAGATTGAGAAATTCAGTGATAATAGTTCTCGTTTATAATTTATATAAAATGTGCAATTACAAAAACCTTTTTAAATATTATTTTTCTCTCCTGGTCCCCCATATATATGAGGGTCTGAGAGAATGAATGAAGGTGGGAGCAGCTTCTTAAAGAAAGAGTGTTCAGATGGCAGAGATTGTTCTTGCAGTTACATATAAAACATTAACCAATTCTTCAGTGAAATGTGAAATCTTACAGAATCAGATGTCATTTGATCGATGTTGCAATCAGAATATATCAGGTTTTTCATTTGCATAGCTGGAGAAGAATACAGCAGGTTGGATGTCCAATAAGTTTATGCCATTTTTAGCTTGTTGCTCACTTATTAACAGGTTCCTCTCAGGTCACAGGAGATGCCCTGGTGCAAAATTAAATAAATAGTAAATGCAACATAAAATAATGAACTCTTAATGTAAATGTATTTACATTTTATTCTTGTCATAATTTAACACATTTCTAACTATTTAAAGGAACATTAAATAGTTCAGCATTGTGTGATGCTTCATTAAATGTATAAATCATATATTTAGTAATTATTATATAATAGAGTGGCTGTGAAAGGAGTTCAAAGACCAACAATCAACCATGGTAAGCTATATTTAACGAAAGGAAGACATGTGATGACGAGTTTATGATATTTCCGTGTTGAGTTTTCAAGGCTAAAAGTGTGAGTTTTATTTAATTTTTTTGTCCTATATGAGGGAGTTTAAATGTAAAAAGATCCAAAGACAATTAAATATGATGCTGAAGACATTATGCAACGTTCCAAGCCTCAACTCAAAGTAGATTTTTCCTCTGGTCCATCAAAGAGTGAGTGTTGAAACAGAACTGTTTTAATTTTCCTAGTAGCTGTTTTGCTTGTGTCAGTAGTACAAAAATGGTGCTAAGAATTCATTCTAATGTGGAATTGTGGTCTAAAGAACCTGCAGTATCAGACATACTGTTTACACTCAGCTGAAATATACTTCAAATACTTTTGTTGATTCTGTTTTTAATCCCAAAGATCTGAAATATGGTGTCAACTGTTGTTACCTTGAGGGAGGAACAAACCTGAGAAAGTAAACTTCCAGTGATTGGCTACTTCTCAGGACGATAGTACTGTATTATTCCCGGTTCTGTCTGGTAACATTACCAAAGTATCTAATCACCAGTGGCAGTTTTGTTTTCATGGGGGGGGGAAGAACAAAAGAATGACACAAAAAAAAACAGTCCAATATTTAAATGTTTAGAATATTATGTGAACCAAAGAGCCATTAACTGCTCCGGAAACCTCAGATAAAGAACATGAAACAGTGATAATATCTCAATATTACTGAAGGTAAAAATTCAAAAACTTAATTTTTTACATCATTGACAAACTAAAACTCGTAGTGACCGGATCACAAAGGCACCAGTCTCAGCAGAGACTTCCCTCTACTCAGACACCTCCTCCAGCTCTGCTGGGAGAAGCCCCAGACATTCCCTTGCCAGCCAAGAGACATAGTCCGTCAAGCCCCTGGGTCTCACGGACGTGCCTGGAAAAAGGTCCAAGTGATGCTTTCAGACGCATCAAAAAAGCCACTTCTTCTGACTCCTCTCAATCTGGAGGAGAAGCAGCTCTACTCCAAGCCTCCACTGAATTGCTGACCTCTTATCTCTAAGTGAGTTCCCAGTCACCCTGTGACGAAAGACAATTTTTGGCCACTTGTATCCGGGATCTTGTTCTTTTGGTCTTGATCCAGATTTCATTACCATAGCGGGGTATAGGAACGTGGACTGACCGGTAAGTCTAGAGCTTTGCCTTTACAATCAGCTCTCTCTTCATCACAACTGTCCGGTGAAGTGGCGCCATTATAGCAACATCAGCATCAATCCATCTATCGATCCCCAGTTCCGTTGTTCCCTCATTCGTGAACAGGACCCCAACATACTTGAACTCCACCTGAGGCAGGAACTCTCCTCTAATCTGAAGGGAAAAGGGCACCTCTTTTTGGCCGAGAACCACGGCTACCAACTCATCCCCGCCAATTCACACTGTGCTACAAACCACCCTAGTGCATACTGAAGGTCTTGAGAGGATGGACCAAGCAGACGCACATCACCCACAAAACAGCAGGTATGAAATCTGCTGTCCCCAAACCAAACCCAATCCATCCCTTGGCTATGCTTAGAAATTCCATCTAAAAGGTTAACAAGAGGACTGGTGACAGAGGGCAGCCCTATTGGAGTCCAGCATGCCGACTCAATGCCGACAATGTGGACCATACTCCTGCTACGCTTATATGAAGACCAGATAGCCCCTAGTAAAGGGCCCCTTGACTCCATACTCCTAAAGCACCTTTGAGAACCCTGCAGAGGGTGTAGAGCTGATCCAATGTTCCACGGCCGGGATCAAAACCACATTGCTCCACCTGAAGCTAAGGTTAGACAATCCACTCCAGGACCCTGGCATAGGCCTTCCAGGGGTGTTTGAAAGTGTGATCCCCTATAGCTGGAACACACCCTGGTCTGTCAATCCAGGGACACTTTCCCCAACGTCCACATTATGTTGAAGAGGCATGTCAGCCATGACAGCCAGACATTATCCAGAGCTCTAAGGTACTCAAGGGCCATCTTTTCCACCCCTGAAACTTTGCCACTGAAAAGTTTTCAACCACCTAGGTGACTTCAGCCTTATTGGTGGACGAATTCAAGCCAGAGTGGCTCATCTCCTCTTCCACCATGGAAGGCGTTTCAGCCGGAATGAGTAGATCCTCAAAATATTATTTCCACCATCCAACAATTTTCTCTTTCAAGGTCAGGCCCTTTAAAAACAGTGTTAAAGAAGCACTGGTCCCCCTCCAGAAACGCCAGACAGTTTGGCAGAATTGCCACCTTAGCGTGGTGGAGGGGTTTTATGCATAAATGATCTCAGAAGCTATGTTGTTGTGGGCTTAAATTCCCCTGATAGGGTCTCCTAAGACAAACAGGCTCTATTTGACGGGTCAGACAAAGAGCTGTTCAAAAAGTTTCAGGTCACCTGATATGGTGGAGCCATGACCCTACTCTGTAGCCAGGCCTGGGGTTGGGGTTCATTGGCGAGCACTGGTGGTCGGGTTCTTCTTTACAGTACCCGGCCGAGTCCAGCCTGAAGGAGCTGCATGAGGCCATCCCCCAGGGTAACCACCACCTGCAGGGGGAACCGTGAGGTACTGGTGCAGAGAGGACTGGGCAGAGGTCAGAGGCGGAGGCAGAGGCAACTTGATCAGCAAAATAAAACTGTGAGACTAAAAAAGTTATGAAAGTAGTAAGCGTTTTCTGTGCTATCTCATATTACCTGGAAAATGTTGACTAGCAGGATAATAACTGAATAAAAGTAGGAGGTGAATAGCTAGTTTATATTCTTAAAGGGTTTATTTGCTAGTTTTGCTTTTCCAAAGGAGTATCTCCAAACTGATTCAATGAAATAACCTACAATAGTCTATATTCCTGCAGTGCAGGATCCCACACCTGCAGGTATGATATGTAAAAAGCTCAACCCATGATGTGAGTGTGTGGAGGGAATTTTGTTACATTATTATTGCAAGTAAAGAACAGTTTGTAAATTGAGATTTGGGGGGAAAAAATCAATCCAGAAATAAAACTTTAAAAAACTTATACAGAAAAAGGTTTTGAGACTAAGTTTGCTTTTTATCTGGATGTATGTTTGACAAAAAAAAAAAAGAAAAAACTGCATTTTTTACATGTTTAATATTCTTAAATTTATTTTCAAAACTTGTCTTTTTTAGATTTAATTGTGAAAATTGCACTTTTTTCAAATTGCGTTTTCCATAACACATTTTTTATCACTTCTGGGGGGGCGGGCTTTCATCTAGAGGAAGAGGAGAAGATGCATTTTATTGGTCGGTACATTTTTACCGGGAAGAGAATGTGATCTGCAAAATGCAATTTGAAAAGAATGCAATTTTATCAATTAAAGCTGGAAAAAAAAAGTTTTTTTTAATCTGGAAAAAATATATGAAAAAACTTAAATCTTAAAAAACTTTAAAAAAAAAAGTGTTTTAAAAAAGTAATTAGAAAATAACAATTATAAAAAAATAATAATGTTTAAAAAAATGCATGAAAAATGTTAAATCTAATTAAGAAAAAAATAATAAAAAAGGAAAGGTACTCTCAAAACCTCTTTTTGCTTATAAACATTTTTCAAAATTTTGTTTCTGGATTGCATTTTTTTCCTTGCAAATTTGTACAGTATACAAAACCTGCCTGTAAAAATAATGGAACAAAGTTTACTCCATAGAAAGACAAAGTGTGAATCTGTTAAATGAATACATTCATTTTGCTCTCATAGTTTGTCTGGTGTTCTCAACTTTGTTCCTGTTTCCACATGTTTCTCACATCTTTCCTCTCTGTCATTTGCCCATAAAACATCCACCATTTTGTCTTTATATTCTCCTTCTTTCTCCCCCCGTCCCCCTTTCTTTCTCTCCATTGTCCCTCCAGGAGCCACAGACTACTGTTATCCATAATCCAGTAGATGGAATCAAGGTACATCCTCTCTTTTCCTCCATCTCCTCGTTCCTCATCTTTACCTTCATTTGCCATCCTCCTCTTTACTCCCCTCCTCTCCCCTGGTGGGTTCAGCAGTGTTTTTTAAAGGGTCTTTTTTTGTTTCTACACTGTGAAGTTATTGTGATTTTCTTTCCCTGCATGACAGAGGTGTGTGGGCGTGGGGCTGTGGGTTATTTCTTTTTGTCTTATGCTGCCTCACTGTGTTCAAACTAACGAAGCTCAGAGAAATGGGTATATGTCAGCAGGAACAGAACCAGATTAACACTCATTCCACTCCTCAGAACTGTCTGCTTAATGTGGCTAAACATTATACCTGTCTGCCTTTTTTTTTATTCTATTTTATTTTTTCTCACGGATAGACAGCTCAATCCAGAGGTGGGATTGCAGCAGAGGCCGAAATGCGATGTTGTGTTTTGTTTTGTATTATTGGCAAAAGCTGTTGTGTGAACACATAGCTGTGCTGTAGGCTATACTGTGTAAGCGAGCTGTGTATAAATCTGCATGCTATATTAGGGGTAATGTCTTGTTTTTCTTTGCTTTTTATGATTTTAATCATCAGGAGGATTTATTCTTTTTGTTTCAGGGATCCTCCGACAGCAGTAACACCACCATTGAGGATGAGGATGTAAAAGGTAGGTTCCGGCTTCATTCAGAGCTCAGTTAAACAACAACTCCTGAATATTAAAGTCTTTTCATACACTTGTGATGCTTTTTGCATTTTCTCCGATAAACTGCTTCTCAGAGCAGTCTGGCAATATGATTAAACCACGTTTATCTATATTTTAGTTGTTTCTTTCTTTAGATTACGCACCATATACCATTATGTTAAAACGAAAGGAAAACATAAAACGTCAAAAAGACTAGATTCATGTTTAAATCCAAAGCCGAAAAAGTAGCGTAGGATCCCATTTCCAGTGCAGATCGAGCAGAGATGATTGATGAAACAGAAATCATTTTAAGGCATTTATTTGGTCAGGAAATAGAATATTAACCTTGAACACATTCAATTTTAGTACATTTACTATTTTTGGGAAGGAAAATCGTCATTTAGGTCTTTAAAAAAATAAAATCGAAGGCAACCTGGATGTGTATATGGATGCGCAATGAGCTGATGACGCATGCGTAGGACAGATCGTGCTTCCGGAACGGATCGGGTAGCGACAGTCCCCATAAGTTGTGTCGGGATGTGATAAAGAACTTCCGCTTTTACTTCTTCGTCTGTTTAAAAAGTGGTGCACTCTTTTTCCTCTTTGTGTTTAAATAGATTACATTCCAGTCCAACAATTGGTGTAGTCTTTGAATCATCTTTATGTTAAGAGCAGTGCAAAATGCTACCGTAAAAGCAGCTTCTGCCTGCAACATGCTCATGCGCTTTTCTACCATAATAACAGTCTTTCCCCCCTCATTCATAAAACCGTCGAATCAGGGACATTTCTGGGGACAGCTTCAGCTGGGACACGTCATCCAAAACGGGGACTGTCCCCGGAAATCAGGGACGTCCGGTCACCCTGGGTTAAAAGAACAGATTTAAAAGTTTGCTGTGTTTTTGTTTATTCACTGTTAGCCTTTATGGACACCTGCATCAAATACTATCAAATAACATAGCTAGCATTAGCTAGCATTATTCCTCCAACTCCCCCAGAGCCCTGATGCGATTAGTCCGTTAATTTGAACAAAAACATGCAGCAGAGTTCTGAGTAACATCTCCTGTTTTTGTTTAGCCAAATAGGAGTAATGACCTCCCCAAGATGGCGGCTGTAATTCATTCCCTATTGAAACATGCTTCATGTCTATGGAACCTTCTGATTATAAACATGTTTGACCATTTTTCCTCTTTAATTTTAGTCCTTTATCCAAAAAAATAAGTAGAATTTTATGTCAAAGATTCAAACAAACTGTAAAGATGAAACTAATCGCTCTTTAGCCAGTTCTTTCAATGCATTCGGATTCTTCATTTTACCGGGATTTCGTGAAATAGACCCAAACAGATTATCATAAAGTTGATTTGAAGGGGAAAGAAAGTGTTGCATTGCTTTTAATTTTATCAAAATAAAAAATTCGAATGAAAATTTGAAAAATCTTCGCAGGGTGTCTGGGTGCACCCTTCGAGATCGGTTGAGGAGCTCAGTTACCAGGGAGGAGCTCGGAGTACAGATACTAGAGCCAGCTGAGGTGGCTCAGCATCTGATCCGGATGCCTCCTGGTCGCCTCCCTCGGGAGGCGTTCCAGGCATGTCCCATTGGGAGGAGGCTTCATGGAAGGCCCAGGACACGCTGGAAGGACTATGTCTCTGAGCCGACCTAGTGTCGCCTCGGGGTCCCTCCAGAGCACCGTATTGATCAGGAAGTTTGGGTATCTTTGCTTAGAAAATGAATGGAAAAATTTGAAATGTGTCCGCTTCAGAGGTTTACTAGAAAGCAGCAGTGAAAAGACGGCATCATGAAAACCAAGGAACACAGTAGATGAGTCATGAAGGAAGCCCTGGAGATTAAAATAAATATTAAAATACATTGTTCTAAAATGTGACACTAGAAAACTGTGGGGACATTTTCCCTCTGAATTTTCCCATTCCTAAGGGAGACATAAACAGCTTTGAGCCCCTGGAAGCTTTGAGGTGTTTAATGTCTTCCTCAGGGACTCACTAAGTTACCTATAGTTATTTACAAGTGGACATCGATTAGCTGCTCAGTCTATGAATCTTTGTGGAACACAGTTCAAACAAAGCACCTTTCAAGAGAAAAAACACCATATGAAGTCATGGTGAAGCTTTTATTCACTAGGGAAAGGAAAGCTGGTCAAAGTGTTGAGAAGATAGGTGGAGCTCAATTGAGGGAAATCCTTCAAGGAACACAGAAGAAAAGAACAGAGAATGAGCTGGAGGTTCACCGTTCAGGAGAGCAATGTCACAAAACAAAAAGCCCAAATGACAGAAGCTATGGTTCTTGACTATGGTAACGACATTTAAGCGAAAGAAGAGTGCATCAGCGGTCGACATAAGTCCCTGAAGTAATAAAGAAAGTAGGAGGAGGAAGCAGAGAGCTTCCTATCATAGTTTTTTTCCAGCATATAGGCATCTTCTGATGTTCCTATCCATGTCATGATTGCAGCCCCAGGTAGTTTCTCTGATTCCTCACTTCATTCACCTGCCGTTCCCTCCCCTCTCTGTAATTATCATTTACTTGTTCACCTGCTGCCTCTACTATATATATGGTTTAGCCCAACTATCAGGGCCAGATCATTATTCTTGTATTCTTAGTTTATTTGCATTATGTTTTCATGTCAGTTATTTATGTTTGTTGAGTGAGAGTTAATGGCATGCAGGGTGGAGTTGAGCAGGTGTATCAAGCTGAGGATTAGGCCAGCACCAGTGCAGAGATTGTCACAATATCACCATAATAAGTAATTAAAATAATAAAAAATAATAATTTAATGACTTTTAATGATTTTTAATGACCCACAAAAACCTTGTTTTCCAATTATGAAGCAGAATATGAATGTCTGGATTCTGGCTTTGGGTGCTGTGCTCTGATTAAACAGAATTGTTTGAAACCTAATAAACACAGTCTTCTGCTAAATCCAACAAGACACAGACAGACCATTACACTACCTCCTACAACTGACAACCTCATGCTTTGTGCTACAGTACACCTACCAGCTACCATGCTAATCAGTGCCTAGGTTGGACCTTTCCAATGGAAGATTGTGCCACCTTGTAATTATCTATAAATATTTAGTGCATTGAAATAAAATCGATGTGATATTTTTAACTCTTGAGGTTTTCACCTCAAAGTTTCCTAAAATGGCTTATGATAAATGCTGACATTTATTATAGTTTCCATAATTCTAATTTTAGCGGAATAACATCAGTGATTATGGCTGTCCTTTACAAGCTAATTTGTATGTATGTTGCTTCTAAAATAGTTATTGTCATGAACCGGGGACAGGTGGACCCAGTATTCAAGGAGAGACAGTCAGTAGGAAAGTTCAAAAAGGTTAAATAAATTAACAAAAGCTAAAGTTGAGCTGTGGCTCTTGGACACTGCAGGATGGGGAGCGGGGCACCGCTCAATCACAGACACTCTGGTTTAACAGTCCAGTCCAAGAATGTCCCCAAATGCTGCAGTCCCAGAGGTCAAGCTGGAAGCTGATCCTGATCAGGGATCCAGAACAGACAGGAACAGAAACAGCAGGATCCAGATCAGGCAGGAACAGAAACAGGTGGCAGGATCCAGAAGCATCCACAGGCTTCCAGGAGGGTTCAGAGTCTGACAGGGTCCGAAAGCGTGACCAGGTGGTCACGCACAGGAGCAGACAGGATCAGGTGCAGACGGGCAGGCTCAGTGGCAGAGGGTAGCCGAGACAGGATGTGGAACCGGAACTTGAAGCAGGACTTTAAACTGGTCTCCTCCCTGGAGCCAGGCTTACTTGGATAAAAACTGAACCTCCCCACATATAGAGCCAAAAACCCAGAGGACTCCGCGGGGGAGGAACAGTGGACGATCAGGAGACGAGACAAACACAAAAACCCTCTTTCCACTGGCTGCTAGGATCCAGGACATGAACCATGAACTAAAACGGAACAGACAGTCTAACAGAAAGACAAGTAATGATCTGGCACTAAATGCTCAGGCTGAACTGAATGTAACCAAGAGGAAACAGGTGAGTGGAATAAATTATAATTGAGGCAGATTTAGACTCTTAGGGTCACACTTTTCTCCATTTATAGTTAAAATGGAGGATTTTTGCGAATAAAAAAAAAAAAACACCCTCTCCATGTACATGCACAACCCTGTACCCGCTCATGTGAAGGATAGCCTATTAAACGCTTCTAAGAGCATGCATGAGCCCATTTTTCCTCGTACACACTCTGCTTAACAGTTGCTGTTTGCATCGCTCATACAATCTTACTTTCCAAAAGAAGATTTGCAATTTTTTCACTATGTGAGACTCACCACCGGTAAGATGGTGGAGACAAGCACATAGGGCGGCATTACACGAACATATCACCAGAATGATTGACAATTAGGAGGAGTACCCTATTTTCATGATCAACCCGGAAAAATAACATCCTCTACTATACCTTTAAGCGCTTGTTATTTGAAAAAAAACAACTGATTTTTTTAAATTTAACTTTAACTAGTCAAGAAAATAGCTTTTATCAAGAAATATTGAAAAGTTCAAGTTATCATTACTATTACCACCTCTACAGGGCGTTGCAAAGAAAATGAAAGTAGATAGAAATGCATATAAAGAGGGAATAACTCCCCTATGACAGAAAGCCAAGCACACTTACAAAGCTGCGATGTAGGTCAGAGCACGGCTACAGTAGCCGATCAGTTCTTATTACACTGTTTCACTGAGGCTTTACATCAGACAAACTAAAGCATATCTTGTAAAATATCAGTTTATCGTTAGGTTTACATAAATATTTCATCCCTGGCTGCTTATGTAAGCAGCTCAAAGTCCCGATCACGACCTTGCATGTTTTAAATACTTGAAGGCCGATTTGTAAGACTGTCCAAGCTTTGGATTATGGGAGAGAATTATCTCTTTCTTTCATAAAGGACAGTCGAGGAGATTACCAAAAAGGAGCGCCGAAGCTCTTCAGCATCAAGGGCATGAGATCAAGCTCTTCTCATGACTAGTTCTCTTAAAAGTGCATGGGACAACAGAAGAGAAAGACCTTCATACAGTGAGAGGCACCTAACTGTACTACAGAACTAAACATGCCAGCATCTTGGGTGATTTTTTTAACCATTCCTGCAATCATATCTCCTGCAGATAAAACTCATCTGTAGCGCTTCTGTCTCCAGAATGTTAAAGTCGTAGGGAAATCCTATTTAAATGTCAAA